GTGGTCAAAGGAAAAGAATTCTTGGAGACCCCTTTATGGACCCTGAAAAGATCAGAACACTGAGTGTTTCTAACCTTGTGTCCTTCATCCGAGGGTTGAGAAGGTTTGAATNACCATGTCTGAGTTCCCTAATTGTGTCACTTCACTTTGCACAGACAAATATTAAGTAATGAGAAGAAACCTTGGTAAAATTTTCTCTCATAGCTTAGTTATGAGAAGTGTGAGATAAGTTATTTGCATAAATAACTCTTCCCTTACACAGCTCTACACTGTCTGAGGAAAAAATTGAAACAAATGGTGGAGCACAGATCCACAGTGCTGCTTACAAGTCAAGTCAAAAAGTGGAAAGAGAATCACAAGAAGTGTGAGACAAGCAAAAGAAGAAAGATAGGTGACCATGTCTGACTCTTCCTAAACAGAGATGATGTGTCCACATTAATAAATGGTAACACAGAGACGGTTAGGAAGGATTTTGATGAGAAGGTTTAGAAAAGCCACCAAAAAAGGCCACGCACTTAATATTTCATTGGACCGCCTTTAGCTTTGATTACGGCACACATTCTCGGTGACATTGTTTGGATAAGCTTCTACAATGTCACAAGATTTATTTCATCCAGTGTTGCATTAATTTTTAACCAAGATCTTTCATTGATGATGGTAGAGTCTGACTAGTGCTGGGCGGTATACCGTTTTGTACCGAACACCGGTTTTTATTTTTGTTATGATATGAATTTTCTGAATACCAGACATTCCGGTTTAAATAGCGGAACGTTTCGTCGTGGCCACCAGTGAACTGTTGTTTCCCGGGGGACATTTTTCCTTGCTGCACCGTGCGTTAGCATGCTAATGTTTGGAGCAGCTAGTTGCAGCCGCAGGTGGCGATTCCACTGCTTATATTGACTGACGTTTAAAAAAACATCCCATTTTCACCGTCTCTGAATGTAGTAAACACCTCTTCAGTGACGTGCACAGTTAGATTTAACAAGGTTAGTTAATATGGAGACTTTATGCTGATGGAGACTTAACATGGTTTTATTGTGAAAAGCCTGCAGGAAGTAGTTCGTAGTGGAGTTGGAATTGACTGGTGTGCAAGGTGAGTCATGCTGATAAGCTTTAATAAATAACATAAAACAATAAACCCGATCATAATCTTTTCTTAACCCTCCTCCTTCACGACTGGACCAAAATGCATGACTACTGTCTCCAACCACCAGTCAGAGAAGAACAGACACAGAGGAGGGAAACAGAGACACAGACAGAGGTACAGGAAAAGAAAAACCGCTGAGCAGCAGGAGGAGAGGAGAGAGGAAAAAGTTCAAAACTTATTTCTAGCGGCAGAACAGGTTAAAAGATGGCTGTCTTCTGTTGTTTATTGTTTTTTAAATCATCCTACAGGCTCTGACATGTTAGATAAAATTGAAAATCAGGTTTTGAAAAAATCCGTGAGATTACTCTATACGTCCGTATACCTGCAAAATGATGTAAAATCCTTATAATTTACGGACAATCTGTACAAGATGACATGTGTGAGCAGGGTTTGTATATTTTATTATCAGCTGAGCTGTGATGAAAAGAAAAATACCTTCAAATACAGTGAAACCGGTGAAAATGTTGAAAATACCGTGATATAAAATTTTGATCATATCGCCCAGCCCTAAGTCTGACCTTCTCCAGCACATCCCAAAGGTTCTTAGTGGACTCTGTGGAGCCGATCCATGTGTGGAAATGATGTCTCATGCTCCCTGAACCACTCTTTCACAATAAGAGCCCCATGAATCCTGGCATTGTCATCTTGGAATATGACCGTACCATCAGGGAAGGAACAATCATTGATAGAATAACCTGGTCATTCAGTGTATTCAGGTGGTCAGCTGACCTCATTCTTTGAGCTGAACCTAGACCTGACCAACTGCAGAGACCCCACATCACAGACCTTAAAAAATCCAGGTGGACACTTTTTTTTTTGGCCAGTCAGTGTATAATTGTTGTCAAAAATGTGATTTCTTGTTTACTAAGATTTTTTCTGTAATAGAACTAATACTTTTATGTTTAAGCAAGTAATTCATGACATCCTTTAATGACCTAGGTTTTCATGACATGCTGTTCATCTGCAGACAGAATGATTAAAGTCAGAACAAGATTTGCTGACAACACAGACCATTGCAAAGTTTATCTGATTGTTTTGGATTATATTTTTTTGTCACAGACCATTGCAAAGTTTATCTGATT